TTACAGACAAATGTATGGAAAATTAGAAAAATAAACCGAGCGTCTTCTAGCCAAGCTACATCCTTTAAAACGTGGTGAATAAGCTCGCAAATCTCACAGATATTATTTTTCATCGCGACCAATCGCAAAGCCCTGCAAGTTTACCGAAGGAGAGTGGTAATTTAGATCGCAAAACTCACAGATATTTTTTTTTAACCGCGAATTTACCGAAGGAAGAAAATAGCCGTAAATTTGCCTCCAAAGCTTCCATCGGCTCCAGATTTCACCTACAGTTCCTGATTGATAGATGGCAAAGGAATATTTTTCATCGCGGCCCGTCAATAACACTAGGGAGTTTATGAAACCTCGACGCCGACGCCGAGAACAACGTCGATGAAAAAATGAATGACCCAAAATTAAAAGATATCTGAATCGAGAAGACTACATTTAACCAAATCGGGGAGGAACATGTAGATCGGACTCGACTGAGCGGCGGAAATCGAGCCTACAGCAAAGAGTAAAACAACAAACCCAGAAAAAAATAATATTACCCTCGACCCTCGATCCTCGACAAACAGATAGACTCAAACCTCTGCCAAGATAAGAGACGCAGTTTACGCGCTTGGAAATACCGGTCAACGCTATGTAAGCTTAATTGTCATGAAAGAAATCACACAGTTCGCACCTGCCGAATGGCAAAATGAGAGTCAGTTTTTCTGTGGATAGTTGAGTTGGCATCCAGATGAAAAACGGGATTTTCAGGAGAATAAAAGGGAAATAGCAGCATTAGAAACGGCCGCCGCGAAAATAGAACTGGATTTGAACTGGCTTTCCCCCGAGTGAAAATAGTTCTTTGAATAAACACGTAGAGGAAATTTAAAGTTTCTCCATGAGTACGTTTAGTATGTTTTGAATTCCTCTATTTCCTATCATTCATTCTGACCAGGTATAAAATGCTAGGTGGAAGATTGTGTTCATCAAGTTTGAAGGATGTACCTTAGCTAGAAGACGCTCAGTTAATTTTTCTAATTTTCCATACATTTGTCTGTATTTTTTCTCCCGCGAGCCGCGTCCACCCGCCAAATTTACAGACAAATGTATGGAAAATTAGAAAAATAAACCGAGCGTCTTCTAGCCAAGCTACATCC